CTGGGTCATCTCTCGCACTCTCCTCTGCACTGCTTCCGGACACTGCCCAGCACCAGCCCTGCAAAAAGGCGCCGGCCCTGCACTGGACATGCATGGCATGCGATTGGCTTGCATTGCCCTGGTGCATGCGCTCGGAAGACCTCATCGAAAACATGGGGTCCGGATGGATCCGGCCAATTCCCAAAGCAAGGAACTGCCTTCTGGAATCTTCTCGGAAGGACAAACCCCAGACCTCATCGGAAAACAGCGGCGTGCCGGATGGAAGGACACACCTGCCCCCTGCGCGCCTGGGCCAGGGCCGCGCGGCGCAGGCCCCGCAAAGCCATGGCCCCAGCCGCCATTCGCACGCTGGGCCGGGTGAATCCCCAGAAAGAGACGTGACCGATGACGGGACAGCCAGGTGACGCGTAGGAAAAGGGGGGGATTTGGTGAAAGCTCGGCACCTGGAGAATAGTCGTTCTGGCGAAAGTGAATGCTGAAGATCTAAAAGAGGTTCAGGAGCCCTTCTACGCACGAAAAAAAGGAGAAAACAAAAAGAAAGAGAAAAAGACGAGGAAAGAGTATCTGAAAGAAACCAGACAGCAGACGAAAAGCCATCCCCTTGCGGCGTCCTGTACAAATGCGGAACTTGTGGAATTGTTAAGGTTGTTTAGCACCAATCCTGCTTTGAGTAGCAATGAACCAATTTCAACGGCCTTCTCGGTACTCGGTACTCTCAATGGCCTAGTCCAAACCAGCGAATCAAGGGTGCCATCAGTTAGTGTAGCAGGTTGGATTGTACATGGGGGACTTTACCATGTTGGGCAATCATGTGACCCAACATAGCCATGAGTTCATTGGAACATACATATAAATACATACAATTATCAACATGATTATAGCTGCAATTACAACTACAAGTAAAACATGTACGTATAAACAGGCACATGTATATATATATATATTCATATATAGATGGCTTTATATTCATGTATGCATCCATGGTGTATATTCATGCATTTTGTACGAATGTGAGAGGGGGGATACATCTCCAACAACGCCAAACACCCACGAAGAATGCAAGGGAGTCTTTAAAGCAGTTTACTACCACGAAGCAAACAACGAAAGAGGTGTCACTGCAAGCGCCTTTGAAGCCCGGGCTCGTTCCAATGCCTTGGCTCTCTATCAGATTCGGGCGCCTTGCTCGCCAAGGGTTCAATTACGGTTTCCAGATTTGACACTTGAGGTCCCAAAACACAAAGCGAAAAAGTGAATTTGCCAAGGCCTTCCGGGAACGACCTTCCAGCGCAATTCCCACCCGGGGCCAAAAAAGCATTCGCTTTGAGAAAGAATAAGAAAATTCCCACCAAAGAAACAGAGTAACAGAGGGTGTCACTAACTGGACCACAGGGTCCACAGAGGCGCAGGCTTCTTTTCGGCCCAGCTTTGGCTCATGGCGCAGGAGGCTGGTGATAGGCAAAGCCTCCCCAGTGGCAGCCTGGGCTTGGATAGGCGGACGAAGTGGCAACAAATGCGACGGTTCCAGCAAGAAAAACTAGCCGCAATCGGTTTCTTCGGCCATGTTGCTCTGACATGAGTCAATTTAGAGTCATGGAAACTAGTGGTATGTCCAAGGAAGCATTACCGATCCGCAGACTCACAATGGCAATTGCTTCAAGAAAACCCAGCCCCGCTTCTGCCGAGACGCTCGCTTCCGCCACTCCACGAACTCGTGCTCCCAAATGTAGAAGACGCGCAGCCCCTCCGCAGTGAACAGATCGAGGCGTTCCATGGTGTCACGATAGACGTCCGGCGCCGGTTTGCTGCCCACGCAAATGAAGCTGCTATGCCTTGAGCGAGTTGCGAGCTGGTGACAAAAACTGGTTGGTAAGCTGGCTACCTTTGAGCATGTACAATGTACTTGCACTTTGGGTGGCACAAAGACACAGAATGAAGCTGCGATATGTGCTACCAAGTAGCCGTGGATGCTCCACGGGAAAGCCGTGGTAGTAGTTCCCCAGAAATTCAACCACCTCACGCCTCTCCGGGTGGTATGCATCGGGCCGCACCGCGCTCTGGAATCAGACGTGCGAACTCTTTGCCGGACCAGGTGTCGATAGCTGCATCAGATCTGTGCCGAAAAGGGAACCTGTAGCCTACCTCCTCCTCCAACATGTCAAAACAATCGCTTGCTGCGCACAAAAAGTTCGATGAGGACAATACGTGTGCTCCAACCTCTGCCGCATGCACTGCACAGAATTGCCGAGGTTTGGCAGTAGCATCTGGATAATTTGCGTGCTTTCCGCACACAAGGCACCTCAAACTTAAAATGTGTTCCATTCCATCCTCTCGGCAGTTGGCACAGCAAGTTGCCCGAGCATCATCCGGCATCCCGAAATGCGGTCTGGCTGCGCCACACCTGCATTTGCGGCTCTTGATGTCGACCATCCCATCCTCTTTGCAGTTGGCACAGCAAGTTGCCCGAGCATCTTCGTAGCCCATGAAGTGCGCGCGGCAAACCGGGTTCCGGTGGCAGGATTCATCCAACAACCACCTGTTTTGCAAAGGGTTCCTCTGAATCAGCGCTGTAAGGATGACTTGTTGGCCCAAATGTATTCTTCAAGGGACTGCGTCAAAGACCAGCTACTTGTACTGAGAAAATCACCGATTCGCTTCGCGTGTTTGCTGACCAACTCACTTGCTAGCTGACGAGGTACTAACCGACCAACCAGTCACCCAACCAAGCCACCAACCCCTCAAACAGCCAAAGAACCGGCCAATGAAACCACCGCCCGCTTCGCCAAACAAGCAAACACAACTGCGCAGTGTCCTCTTGATCAGCTCCCCGTCTAAGCGAAACACACACACAGAACTGCCTCAGATTTCCTCCAGGTTTAAATCCAAAAGCTACTTCCCAAGAGACTAGTGAATATACCAACATGTCCCATTCCAAATACTGGATCCAAATTGAGACATAATTGTGGATTCAATGATCAGTTAGTGGGCCCAGGAATGGAGCTTTTCGTCAGAAGAGTTCCTGGTGATATCTATCCAACAAGGCACCCAGGAAGCAAAGGAGCCCGAGCCCTTTCAGGTGAAGCCGCAAACAAGTGCCGAAATGAAAGACAAACTACCCCTTTCGATGGTTTTCCCTAAACCAGCAATGTGAATTGATGCACCAAGGCATGCACTTGCCCAAAGCCCATTGTGTCAAAGGGAGGAAGTGACCCAACAAATGTGAGAGGTTCCCTCGAAAAACACACACACACACACACACAAGGGCACTATGTTCAGATTCCTGCTAATTGGTGTTTTGGATTGGTGGTTCGGAGGTTGGGTGGTTTCCCATGCAAGTACCCACTAGAGCCAGGAGTTCAAATCCAAACTACAAATTCAGGGCCATGTTGCACGATCAAGACTCCTTATATGCCTATGGTCATGGTTCCCGCAGGAATCAGTGTGATGGTTCCCAGGTTCATGACCATCCCTGCGCCCAAGTAAAGCGGTCGTTTGACCTCGTGGATTGATGTAACTGGACAAACACCCGTTGAGCGTATCAGCTGGGTTGGGGGGACGACGGAGCCCAGGAGCGGCCTATGGCATGAAACCAAAACCAGTGGAACCCCTCGATTTCATCGTCCAAACCTATCAAAAGGACTATGGGTTCTTCAGCCACAAGAAAAATGCCTGAACTACCAAGAAACTATGGGCTCACCAAACTCACCTATGCGACCAAGAATACTAATGCTGACCCCCAATTCATAAACCAACTCCCCCCTTTTTAAGGTGGCTCCCTTTTTACTGGCGGACCCCCCACTCTCTTCCAGGAGAAGAAGAAAAAGAGAGGAAAAAAACTCACTCAGAACTGCGGGACCCGTTCAATCCACCAGATTCCTAGGCTTGAGCTTCGGTCAAATCCCTGAAGTTCCTACAAACTCAGCGGATTTCCAGACCCGGTTTTCCCGGGGGAAAAAAACACTCACCAGAATCCATAAGAATTCGACCCAGGTGCTCCCTCAAAACCCAGTCCAAGGAAAGTCAGCGGAGGCTTTTTGGGGGGAAGACCTGGGTCGAATTCCCATGGATTTGGGTGAGTGTTTTGGGGGGAAGCCTAGCAAGGAATCAGGTTTCCATGGATTGGACTGGATTGGTCCAAACCCCGCCTCCCAGAGCTGCCGCGCCGCGGCGCGCTGCACCTCCGCCTCCCTGGCCTCCAAACAAACCCGCGGGCGGCTGAGTTTCGGGAAGGAGGCGGGGAAATTCGTGGCTTGTCCGTGGTTTTCCCAAAAATGTGCGTTTTCCCCGCGGTTGTCCCAAAAAGCATGTGGTTTTCCGCGGTTGTCCCAAAAAATTCGTGGTTTCCCCGCGGTCTGTCCCAAAGAAAGAACAGCGGGTTCTGGAAGGTTCCGGAAAATGAGTGTTTGTTGTACCAAAAGTTAGAAGAGTGGGGTGGAAAGTTCCGTGGTGGACGGAAGGGCACGTCTTTTTGGGCAACCCCCCCTGTTGAAGGGAATCCAAAAGGAAGACTGTCATGCTATGTGTTTTCTGCGTGAGGGGGATCACTTTGAGGCAAACACACCCCAATTCATCCGAATGTAGAAAAGTATGAGGTGCACATGATGTGTCTGTGTTTGTGTGTGAGTGCTCTGTTCAACTCCTTTGGGTTATTTTCTTGCTGGCACTCAGTAGGGAATGAGGAAATGAACCTGGGGATTCCCTTAAAGGAAACCAACTCATTTTCTGCTGAGCACCAGCAAGTTGGTTGGAGGGACACCACATGGACAACTCGCCCCGTCCCCGTTGAGAGACGATCCACTTCCAGGTGTGTTCCGACCCCCAACCTGTTTGTGGCCCTTTTCATCCAAAGCGCCCAACACCCATCGACTTCTTCATTCCAGTGCGCATATAAGCCCATGCAATTAGCCCATATAGTTAGAGTGCCCAAAACCCCATCACAGCATGGCTTACATGGGCATTTTTCGCATCAGTAAACCCCAGACACCACCTATGGCCATGCGCCTTCAGCTGGCCCTCCGAGGGCGGCCTCGGTGAATTTGCAGGGAACAGATACCCAACCGGGGGTAACATGGAAGGGAACTCAAAGAGGATCCAACAAAACCCGTGCAAATTCCAATAAGAATTGGGTGGTTGCCCCAAAAGGACGGGGTGAAATCCCTTTGCTATGGGTATTGTGAAAACGGTAATTTGACTATCCGAAGGACCTCCAGTGTGGTTTGGGAAGGGCCCCTCCCCAAAACTTGTATTAAAAATAAGGGAACCCGCAAATTCAAATCAGGCAATTGCATGAATGAATTACAAGGGAGGCACAGTTTCTTCAGGCACCTCCTTGCGGAGGAAATTCCGTCGGCAAGGCAGCACCTGTTCCTCTTGCGCTTGCTCTTTCAGCGGGACACACTCTGAGAGACTTGCCTCTGCGTCCCCATGAATGTCTGATTTATTGTTTTACTATTCCCTCTTCTTCTTATTTTGGGGGGGGCCGCTTGACCAGTTCTGCAGTCAGAGTTTTTGAGACCAGACCTGTCTTCTGGGGGCAGCTTGTAGAGCTGGATATACCCAGCTGTAGGTGAGTCGTTCTTGGTTTTTGTTGCTGGGGGCTTGGGAGCTTCCGGGGTTGGCCTGAGGCAGCTGCCGGTGTTTCCCTCAACCATGGCTCCCTGAAAAAGAAAAAAGAACGCCGAAGCAATCCCGCAGAGTCGCTGGCTTTTTTCGCCGGTTCACCAAGACGCCTTGAGGAATTAGTGGCTTGGGTCACAGCCTAACGGAGCTTTCAGAAAGGGAAGGACCCCCATTGTCTTACCATGATCAAGAAGTCATCCGCCAAATGAAAGGGACTTGCCCCGGGTTGCTGGCTCTGCCCAAAAACCATCCAAACAAGGACAGCACCAGGGACAATGGGTGCTTTTTTGGGGGGGAGGAACCGTACCCCCCAAAATGGATTTCGGTTTTCCCCCTAACTTCCCTGTAAAGACCATAAAGAAGGAACTAAAAGAGGTACCGAGCCTCCGTTCAACAAGTTGACCCTCCAAAAACCGACCGCTCCACGGCTGAAGCGAGTCAGCTCGGGGCCCCCAGGCTTCGGGGCCTGCCTTGGCTGCGAGCCTCGCAGGTCGACGCCGAGTCCCGAAGTTTTTGGCCCAACTTCTCTGGCTTGAAATTTGGACAGGGTACGTTTCGCAGGAGATGGATTTTTTTTTGGAAGTACGTTTCGCATGGGGGAGATGGGATCCATGAGCCCAGATGGGAAAGCAAATGGACATGTTTGCATCCAAACCAAAAGATATGAGTGCTGACTCCGTGCCACACGCGCCTCGCCGCCGGAGAGAGGGTGGTGCTTTGCGCTGGCCTGGCAAGTCGAGTGCGCTCATGCTACGCAGAACTACAGTCTCTCTCGTTTCACTTTGAGCACTTGACCACGACACTTCCGGACTACACATGCTGTGACTGCCCTGTCACTTTGGTGCTGGTTTGGACGCCTAGTGCATATGAACTTGAATTCTGGCTCCTCCTGAACTCTCTTGTGGCGGGGCTGACCGAAATGCACGCCCAGAATGGAAGCGAGCCAGGATCATCACAGAATGCAGCCTTCCGGAAAAACAATCCCGTCTCATGGGCAGACGTGTTTTCTGCCTTACTAGGTCCGATTCGTTTGGTCATGCTGGCCTTTTTTCTCAGGGCTGGCAACATCCCAAGCATCTGGCCCATTGGCCGCATCTCCAGCATCTCCAGCATCTCCAGCCCTTGTGGGGCTTCTCTGGTGTGGGTTCTAGGCTGGCTTAGATCTTTTTGAGGGGTTCGCTTGGCTGATTTGTGCCAGGTGTGTGGCTGGTTTAGCAGGGGCTTTAGGGTTCCTTCAGAAGGCAGTGGTGCTGCAGAATTGCCCCAAAACCACTAAAATGAGCCCAAACTGCCTCAAACCCGGAAAATGCATTGGACCTTCTCCTCACATGTGGCTTTTCAGTCTCCTGTTTGTTTCCTGCAAAAGCCAAGCAAGCAAGGCTCCTTTCCCAACAAACCCGAACATCAGAGATTGTCCCGCGCTTTTTGCCCTTAAAATCACCCCCCAAAAAAAAACACGCGCGCACACACACACACACATACGAAAAAAACTCCACAAAACCGGGCTGACACACACCACACACACCCATCCGCTCCATCGACCCATCGGCGCAATTCCTCTAGGTTGCTACCTTCTATTTCCATTCATAGGTGTCCTTTTAGGGGAAATAGATGGCCCTGGTAGATGATTAAACCACCAGGTAAACCAGGGCCATCTATTTTTCTAGCAAAACATCCAAAAAGGACACCTATGTTTCCATTCTTGACCCAGGGATCCGAATCTTTCCAGAAAACCTCCAGACACCCAGGTTGAAAACGGCTCCGGGGTTTTGAGAAGAACGATTGAAAGGAGTGGACAAGGACTCAACCCCCAGACTGGTGGTTTCCCTTCAGATGTGCCCATGGGCAAGACATTCCCTTACTTACCCCTTGAAACTCCAAGCCCTGGGGAAGTTCTCATCTTTTACAGACATATAGCCCATGTTGCCCCCAAAAAGTTGAATGAAAAGTTGTGTGTTGTTTCAGAGGTAAGCTTAGGGATGTTGCGCTAGGGATGGATCACATCAACCATTTCGGCTCCATGCCTTCGCTCTCCATCTCTAGAGCCTGAGCTCCGAATTCCATGCGGAGCGGTGCGCCGGATGCCCCTCGGAAAAGCAAAAAAAAAGGACTCCGGCAGCAGCTTGGTGGCTGCAAGGGCACCTCAAAAGGCTGAACTGGTTTTGTGGGTTGAGTGGAAAAAGTACCTTTCAGGTTCAGCTAAAAAAAACAATAGCAGTCAAGACAAATGCGCCGGATTCTGGTGACATCTGGACATGGGTGAAGAGACGGGGGGGAATCAACTCTGGTGGAAAAAGAATCAACAACGATCTGAAACGGTGCTTGGGAGAGGAAGCGGTCGCCTTTCCCATGGAAGGTAAAGGCTTGCAAGACAACGCTTCTGAAGAGCTCACCCAGACAACTTCTGAAGAGCCGACCCTGACGCTTGTGGCTTATGACTCCAACTACCCATTTTGATTTGGGAATGCCAACTCCGGCTAAACAGAGGCATTTGCCTTTGAAGACCATATCTTTAAGTGTATCTCCTAAACGAAGCGGTTGCGTGGAGGAGTGGGTCTGCACCCTCAACCCAAAGCCATGATAAAACTTAGCAAAGCAATATGCAGAACACACCACTTTTGAGGTGGATCAAATCACAGCTACTGTTGTCAGCATTTGGGATACTGTCAGCCAAAATCCGTCCTATGGCAGGGTTCGAAACTGCCATCGATCCCCGCGAAAAAAGCATAAAGCCATCGACCAAACCGACATGAAAAGCCGCCTCTGGCATCTCGCACGGCTCATCCTCGCCCTTTTGACCGGAACCCTCGAAGATTTCTGGATTTGGGATACTGTCAGTGGCTGTCGGCGCCCTTTCAAAGGATCATCCTCGAAAGCCGCCGAGGCACGAGGCGCACCACGTAGCGGCCAAGGTAGTGGTGCCGGCCTGGGCGCGCGCGGAAGTGCTTGAGTGGCCACGAAGACCCAAACCAGAAACCGGAGGTGGCCAAGGCCTTGTTCAACAAGAGGAAAATGGCTTCAACAGGCTGCAAGCGCCAAGTGTTCAAACATCTTCCTTTTGGTTTCCCCTTCCATGGCCAGTGGTTGTGTCAGCCAACAAAATGCCCAGTCCTTCACACCCCGAAGCCCAGCACAAAAACACCCTCACCGAGACAGGTGGTTGCTTCTGGAGCGATCCATAGCTTCGGATCAGAAGAGGCGCAGAAGGTTCCTCCCGAACCGCAAGCCCCAAGGTTCGCTGGACCTGTCAGGGAAAGGGGGGGTCAAGAGCCCAGGATCGAACCAAAGGCACAAGGGCCAACAGGAGCCCTCCCTCCCGGTTCCCAGACCTTTCCACACATTTGCTCCAAATCTTGAGATGAGTTTGAAACCAAGTTTCCCAGCGAAACTGCAGTGACTGCTGGCAAAATGAACACAGGCCGTGTATAAGCTCCCATTGCTTTCAAAACAAATTCTGCCTCCTCTTCACGGCCTGCGGGTGGTTCATTTCTTCGGCAAGCCGCCGCAAAACACTCAATCCAAAGAGAAACCCAAGAAACAAAACCAAAATTGGCGGCCTCCTCTCCTCCATCCTCTCCTCCTCTCCTCTCTCCTCCCCTCCTCCACCCCTCTCTCCCCTGCTCCCCTCTCCTCCGCTCCCCTCCCCTCTCCTCTCCTCCTCTGTCCCACTTCATCCGAGGGCTCCGGGCAGTACACCGCGCGCAGCAAGATCCCCGCGAGCGCCGGGCTCAGCAGGTCCCTCGCGCCTTTGGGGGGTCCACCCTTGCCGGTCCCCTGATTGCCCTTCGCTCCAAGTGGTTGGGTGTGTGCCGTTCTTTTGGGGACCCCAAAATGGTAAGCTTCTCTCCAAGTGGCTTGGGTGTGTCTTTGGTGTTCCTTTTGAGTGATAAGACACACCTGACCTACCATAGGGTCATGAAGATCCTTGAGCTCTTTCCAGCAGTCGATGGTGACTTTGGGACGTACACTTTTGCCGACTCTCTGACAGCAAATTTTTCACCGCAGCATATTTTGACCATGGGCTCCTGCCTGTGATTGAGCGACCTTCATGCGAATCACCGACGGGGTCCACTCACATCTCCCCCCAAAAGCATCATGGCAATGGAGCTTTCTTTTTGCTGGGTATATGCTTGTCTTGTTGGGGGGGTCCATAGTCTTTGGCTTTTTACGATTAACCCCCCCAAAGTCAACGCTTCAGGGAGGGGCCGCCAGCCAGGTACCCCGCAGGTCGGTGGCTTGGATGGCTTGGATGGCTTGGATTTGGATTTGAATGGTTCTGGGGAGCAAATGGGAGCCCCGCATCCCCGGCACACCGGGCTCCAAACCATGGAGGGAAGCTTGCGACTTTTGAATGGGCCTTTTTGGGGTGGTCTTGAATGGAAACCTGGACCGAGTTCCTCGCCCAGAGTCCATGGAAAAATGAGCAAATAGCACTCCCAAGATGCGCCAAAAGCTCCTTATTGAGGAGAAGGACCGACAGAGAGCCAGGAAGATAGCATGACAAGACAAGCGCTGCTGCACACAGCGTAATGGTAGCCAATCTGCTCAGGGAGGCTGCTTTCAACGCACATGTCAAGCAAGGAGCTTGAATACTTCGGCTGTCAGTCCCGCGCCTGCCAGCACCTTCGCCGGCGGCGAAACGCTTGCCGAGGGGCGCCTTGGAGCGCCGAGCTTGGGGGGGCCAGGTGAGTTGAGTCAACAAAACCTGGGGTAAAGCTCATGCTGACCCCATATTCATCCAGAAGGGGTCGTCATGGGGGCTGAGTTTTTTCAGATTCCTGGGGGCTGAGTTTTTCAGATTCCTGGGGGCTGAGTTTTTTTCAGCAAAAAACAAAACAAAACCAAACAAAACCCAAAAAAAAAACACAGCCCATCATCTGCATCTGCTAGTTCAGGGCCATGGGTCTGGTGTTTTTTTGCTTTGTTTTTTGTGTTTTTGGTTTTTGTTGGTGCCTTTGCTCATAAACACCAAGAAAACCAAAAACACAGCCCATCATCTGAAGACAATACCGTGTTGATGCTTTCTTGGTGCAAGCTTTCTTGATGCAAGACATCAATATTATGATGAGATGTGTATCAACAGAACATAAGCCTCTTCCAAGATATTCTGCCGGTAACCCCAGCTACTGGAGATAATTTATCTCATCTCTCATTTCATCTTCTGCAGGTAACATCTCATCACAAGCAATTGCTTGTGGCTTGTGTCTACTTGAATCTATTCTGAACAGCTTTACTGTTGCAAGAGCTCTTCAGCAACACGAATAGCTGCAGAGAATCTTATTCCAAAGCTCTTATTCCAAAGCTCAACAGCTTTATGCAGAGAATGTTTTTTGCATGTGCAGATATCGTTGCAGGTGCTCATCTTTGCATCTTGTGCTTCTTGAGCTCAAGCAACTAGATTGGAGCTGTGCTCCAATTGCTCCAGCTCATTATGCGATAAATATGTTTGTGCTAGCTATCTTTTCTCAAGAGCATGGGCAGAGCCCATGCGTATATTGACATATTGAACATCCAACTGTAAAAAGAGCTGAGTCTTGCAGCTGAAAGCTGCATAGATCAGCGTTATCTTACGTTTCTTATGATTTCATATGCATGGCAAGCTGTGCTTGCCATACTTACGTGTTTCAGAATTGCAACACAACAATAATATTTGTCCCAAACATACATCTGCTTGCAGATTGCTAAGCATACGTCTTCCAAAATATTGCATACGTATGCAAATTGTGTTGAAGATTTGTGCCAAACATACGTCTTCCAAAAGTTAGCACCCTGAGGTTTATAAACTTGGCATGCGTAAGCATGCCAATTATCCAAAAATAAGCTACAGACACACGTTTGCTAAATATGTGTGTCCAACAATGACATTTGTGCAAAATAGTTCTCAACAGGCTGTCTTCTGTGTAGCTTGAAGCTACCTCATTTTCCAGGTCTGGATGCATGAGTCTTCATTGGATCGAAAATGAATCTGTCATCAGCCAAAAACAACAACAAAAAACGCACCCCAATAAATCTAAGAGGTCACGGGTCTTGATCTTATATTTTTGGTACTTTTTAGTGTTTTTAATGGAAAAACTCAGCCCCCAAGAATCTGAAAAACTCAGCCCCCAGGAATCTGAAAAACTCGGTTTCCCTTTCTTTGGAACGCTCCCATGTCAGGAAGATCTACCCCAAAGAACATGTGCAGAATCAAACCGGCCGGAGATCCGCGCCAATTCGTCTGGATGCATCCAGGGTCTGGTCTTGGTCTGGCCCAACCCTGGACCCCGCAACCGTCATAGCCCGAGGATGCTCATGTGTGGGGTGCTGGCAGAAAGGGTGAAGGACTAGTTTTGGGCGTACAAATTGAAAGGCGGCAAAGACACCAAGGCTCCAAATGTGGTCAAAAAGAATTGCCCCCTTTGAAAGGCCCCCTTTTTTAAAGGTGGGAACATGAACCATGGCCCAAAAAGGAGGCCACTCATTGTTGGGAACCCATGGTGACAGACGGCTTGCCTCTCTGTGACTGAGGTCCAGGCCCCACGGTCTTCTGGGTGACGCTTCGGGGAATGCCTCGCAAGGGCGTTCCCAAAAAGCTCGCCCCCGGCTCGACGTGCACAAGGACGTGGTCTGTAAAAACCAACAGCCCACTTCTAGTAGGTACACATACCTATATATATATATATAGGCAGTATATTACGATATATATATATATATACATATATAAGGAAATTGCCATGAGTCTGAATGGGAAACCTCCTCAATAGGGGTTGGTGGACAGAAATCTCCGGCTAAATGATGTCCACCAAAGATTGGCTGTTGAAATTCACCCACCAGATCGGGGCAAAAGAAGAGTGCGTCGGTCAACACCAACAGCCCAATTCTGGTATTGTATGTATATATATAAGGCACGGTCAACATCACTCACTTACGGCCGTTTCGCTACTTAGTTTGAGAGTCCCCTATCGTTTTCCAGCGTTTCCATCGTTTTCCAGGGGTATCGTTCTTTTGAGAGTCCCCTATCGTTTGCCATGGCTTTGTGCATTTTCACAATATCAATGAAACGCTGAATACTAAACTCGATAGAAGTAATTTTGGCGGTACTTCATATGCATATATATATATATATAGGTATAGCTTCCTGGAAATCTGTTCTTTCTGCTGGTCTTGAAGAAGGGGGTGCTTCAGACATGGACACAAAGGTCCCGCATTTGCCAGCGCCCCAACGCCGCGGGGTCCTTCAAAGAAAATCCGAAGACTGCGTGAAGCATCACCAAGAATCTGGCAAGCCTTTGCCATTTCAGGTCCCCAGGAAGCCCGCTTCTGTCGCTTTTGAAAGGAACAACGGCTCCAGGTGACAACTCAAGGTTCCCAACCTGACTCACCGGGGCAAAAGGAACCTTTGCTTTATGGTGGGCTTCCCTGGCGGTGGCCCTTTAACATCACCCATGCCTGGCTTCAAGGGGTGTCCTAGCACCCGTTGATCTTCTGAAACAGCTGCGGCTAGGCTCGAGTATAACCGCAAGGCCAAAAGAAAACAAACAACAAACCGGCAGACATATAGACACACAGGCAGACAGACAAAAAGACAGACAACAGACAAACAAGCAAACAAGCAAACAAGCAAGCAAACAAGCAAGCAAACAAGCAAGCAAACAAGCCAGCAAGCAAGCAAGCAGGCAAACGAGCAAGCAAGCAAGTGGGCAACCAAGCAAGCAAGCAACAAGCAAACAAACAAGCAAGCAAACAAGCAAACAGGAAAACAAGCAAACAAAAACATAAGCAAGCAAGCAAGCAAGCAAGCAAGCAAGCAAGCAAGCAAGCAAGCAAGCAAGCAAGCAAGCAAGCAAGCAAGCAAGCAAGCAAGCAAGCAAGCAAGCAAGCAAGCAAGCAAGCAAGCAAGCTGCAAAACAGCACACAAACACTCAAACTCTCAAACTCTCAAACAAAGCAGGAGATGCAGAAAAAACGAATCTCCCGGCCTAACTGCAAGACCTCCGGGGAGAAGTACACCACCACCAGCTTGAGGTGCGGCGTCGGGTGCTGAAAGAAGACCTCTCGGTTCGCAGGGTGGCCCGGGCCGCGGGTCAACCGGTCATTTTTAGGTCCGCGTCTGGTGCGGCATTTTGTGTTTCTTCTTCTGTTGGGAGCCAAGTTGGAACTTCAAAAAATGGCTGTGGCTCAAAAAACCGGTGCGCAAACTGGAACCCTGGCAAGTGGAAACATGGACCAACACCTGCGTAACCCCTCCTGATTAATTTTGAGCCACACCCAAATCCACATTTGGAACGTCAAGAAGGTAAAGTGGTGATGCCGCCTTTGGTCACTGGGGCCTGGATGGTCGCGATTGCATGGTGGGTTACAAGGAAGGAAAGGGCCATCGGGGCCATCGGAACAATGGGCATTGTTGCAAGTCGATTTCGACCTGTTGAACGGCTGAGAGTTCGGCAACCAGAGTAAAATGTTCGGGGGTGATGGCTAGTGGTGGGAAGCAACTGTGGAAAAGGGTGCTACTGAAACTGATTGAATTCATTGCCAACACCAGAGTCTCTCCTGGTACCGCTGTGGATGGGTCACTGCGAAAAGTTGGAGGCACGACCACTCCGTACAGTGCGCACCGCATGTGCATTGTGTGTCCCCAAACACCCCGAGTGTAGATCTGCCCTCAACTTCGAATAAAGGGAAAGAGAGAAAGAGAGAAAGAGCCCGCCAAACGGCTGCGCGAGACTTGGTTTCCTACCTGCAAAATGATCGGCTGCTGCCCCGCTCCCACCTTTGGTCTCCCCCTCGCCCCTCCCAAATCACCAACCCACAAACCCGGAGTGCGCTCTCTAGGCGAACCGTTTTTGGATCATCCCAGTGCAACCGCAGAAAAACATATCGACCCTAACCACTTTGAGCTTGACTCCGGTTTTTGTGGACCTGAACCCCCCAAACCAAACTGGAAGAAGGGGTGCCTCTCTCTGAACTGGCTCAGTTGAGTGTCCTTTTCGTTGGCTTTAATGAAGACAGCTATTTGAACCCAGCAAAATGGCGTCGGTTTCCCTCTTTCGGCTTCCAATGTTTAGCCAACAACAAAAAAACTCTCAAAAAACAGTACCCCCCAAAGAAAGTACCCCACCAAAAAAAACATTCAAGAAAAAGTACCCCCCAAAAAACGTACCCCCAAAAAAACTCAAAAAAGTACCCCCAAAAAAAACCCTCCACCCTCAACATGGCTTCCGGCTTCTCCGGCTGACATTCTCACCAACCCAAGGCCTCCCCGAAGGGCCCCGTTCCAACACGGCTCCCCACATGTGGCTCAACACCCCCCCCCATTTTCCCGGCTTCCTCCCGAGTTTTGCTCCAACCCATGGGGAAATATAAATAATAATAAGAATAATAATAATAATAATAATAATAATAATAATAATAAGAAGAAGAATAATAAAAACAGAGCCCATGTGTTTGCCCTTTTTCCGAGTTTGTTTGGCAAGGGGAAGGAGAGGAAGCTCCAGCCCATGTTCCTCTCAACAACCCACCCATTTCCCCGGATGCCTCCAAGAACAATACATGTGTCCTTTGGCGCCCCCCCGCGGTTTTTTTTGTGGCTCCCAAGGGGAGGCGAGGAGTTTCCGTCCGCTGAAGCTCCTCCCGGGGTGGCCTTCTCCACCTCCACGGCGGGGAAGCCGTGCTGTTGCGCCAGGATCCCCACCTCGTGCAGATCCGTGTGCCTCGCACTCGCTCGCACTCCACTCGCTCGGCGAGCGAGGGCGACCCACCCACGGCTTTTTGTGTTTCCCCCGCACGGAGCTGGGTGCTTTAGGGAATAAAAAGCCGAGGACCGGAAATTATGGGAAAGCCAAAAAAGGGGGGGAGTCCCGGAAAAAAGGGGGAAAAACCGGAGAAGTTTGGAGGGGGTTGAGAAGGGGGTGAAAACCCAATTCGCGTTCCACACATGTGTTCGCCCTACCAAAGCGTTGGCCCTGTCACGAAACACACTTCAACACCAACCCCCCCCCCCCCCCCCCGCCCGCCCGCCGCCCGTGCTAGGCAAGGGAACCACGGAAACCCTGGAATTCACTGCAGGTTTGCAGAATTTCCGTGGTTGGAGCAACATTTGGGTCGGTCTCAGATGAAGGAAACCTGAGGGTGTTCGTTTTCCTTTCGCCCTTTCCAAGGGGAGACCCTCAGCAAAGGCATATCAATCCGGGCAACGTTCCAAGTTATTCACCAAGCTGCATTCAAGAATCCCCAGAATCGGTGCTCTCTTTCTTTGTCCGGACTCCCACCACCCACCCCGACGTGTGCACGGATCCGTAAGGCTTCTCTCTCGCGCCTGGGCAGGTAGAGCACCACCCGCCTGCTGAGCTTGCACGCGGCCGCGAAGAGCCGCACGATGTCCGGCACCTCGCGGGGAAAAAGTCAGCAGCTGAGAGGTGGACTAGGTCCTCCAGTAGTTTGAGGTTAGAATAAGGGTACCCAACTTTTTTCTGCGGTCTATTTTAGTAAGGGGACCCTCCCAAACAAAAAAGGGGAGAGAAGGGCACATGGCTGGGGGACCTAGTACTGAGGCCCGGGATTTCTGATGGGGAAACCAAGGGGGGAGAGACACGGGGGGAGGACCCGGTCCGAGAATTCCACCCAGTCGTTGGCACGCAGACGATGACCGGACAGGGTGCTCCTCTTGACACAACTAGTCGGGTTGTTTCTGGTGGATGATGGATTCTGAGACCAAGCACCGTCTGGCATCAGCCTGACATCCTGAAAAACCGCATCCCAAAAGTAATTTTGAGAACCCCCCAAAACGCAGCCAGAAAATGGTCCGAGAAGGGAATCCCTGCAAAACGTCATTCAAGGGATCTTTCCAGGGTGGAGTTGCTTCCCAAAGACACATTCAGCACAAAGGGGAGGCTCCCTGACAACCGTACAATTGTCTGGCCGTACTCTCCCCATGTTAAATCGCCCAAATCGATGGGAACAGCGAGTAGTTCCAGGTGAGGATGGGTGAAGAGAGTGGGGAATGAACCCTTGAAAACTCCCTGCAACTTTGTGATTGGCTTCAAGGAAGCCTGAAACGCCAAAGGACCAATTCCGCGCACACCAAAAACAGAAGCAAACGAAGAACGAGCGAACGGAAAAACAAACAAGCAAGCAAGGAACCCAAAAAACCACGCACCTTCCCCCCGCCACCCCCCCACCCCCCCACCCCCCCCACCCCACCCCACCCACCCCACCCACCCCACCCACCCCACCCACCCCACCCACCCCACCCACCCCACCCACCCCACCCACCCCACCCACCCCACCCACCCCACCCACCCCACCCCCCACCCACCCACCCACCCCACCCACCCCACCCACCCCACCCACCCCCACCCACCCACCCCACCCACCCCACCCACCCCACCCACCCCACCCACCCCACCCACCCCACCCACCCCACCCACCCCACCCACCCGGGTTCGCCTCCACATCACGCAGAGAGAAGTGGGGGCAGTCCAAGTGCCCAGGGCCGCCCCAGGGCGGCGACAGGAACACCGCATCCACCTGACGCTGCATGGCGTCAGGTCGCATGACGTCGCGGTCGCGGCGTGAGCACAGGGTGTGTCGATTTTTTCCGGGGGGAACCTTCCCCCTTTTGGTGAGTTTTTGGTGGTTGTGCCAATTTTCTGGGGGAACCCCCCCCCCCCCCCGACTTTTTGCTTAGTATTGGTATTGGGGGTTGATCAATATTCCATATAAATATGTTAGTTAGTTTTTTGAGGGTTGATCCATCACGTGTTTAGGGCCCCCAAATGTCCATGGATAACGTTTCCCGATCATCATTTACCCTTGCAAAGGACCTTTTGATCAACCCCCATTTCAAGAGGAACCAAAAGGAAAACAATCAATTGGGGGGGGGTCGCAAGGGCTTGCAAAGCAAGGAAACCAGAAGCTGCAGAAGCATATCCGGGGTGTCTTTCTTTGTGGGCGTCGTGCCCCTTTTTTTCAATGACATTCTTGGGGCTGTGAACATGTAAAGGGTTCTCCCCAGTTGAAGACAAACCCATGATGGAGGATGGCATCAAGGGTTAGAGACTGCCTGAAAATGGGATGGCATCAGGGGTAAAAGACTGCCTGCAAATGATCAATCTGCATCTTAAATTTTGTGTGTCACATGGTTTCTGCAACTCGAAGCCCTTCCATCCAAGTTGCCCTTAATGCCTATGCGTGGTTTCTCACTTTACCCTCATGCTGCCACGGGGCTGCGGACTGCCGCTTTCTGCTTGCAAATCGAAACGATGCGGGATGGACTAGAGGCCAGTGAGGCAGGAAAAGGCACTCGTGTCTTGGTGCAAAGCGCAACCCAAGAAATGAAGAATGAAGGGAACAGCGATGACACGGGACTGGGCAGGTCAAAGGTCGCATCCGCTACACCTCGTGGGATGACTGTTACCAATTGATCCGGAGAACAACAAGTTCTGAACTCAGGTGTCCTTGCGGAAGAATCGATGGCGCTATGTACTATCTGCTTTGAACCAAAGTTGAAACCACCGCAAACTCATTTCATGGCAAACTGCCCCAAATGGCGTGTCTATGCATCTTCACCCATGGTCTTCGTGGCTTCCCACTCGACAACCCACACGCCCCGCGCCTGGCCCTCGTAGGTCTCCGCGAAGTGGGCGAAGTCGTCGTGCACAAAGCGGATGCGGCTGGCCACCCCGTAGATGCCCGCGTTGTGCCTGCGCGAAACCGTCAACCCGTCAACCGGTGCAAATGGCTCCGATGGTGATGGCGGACATGGGACTTGCTCGTCTGGCCGGATCACGGCAATCGGGACTCCTTTCAGGTGACTAGAAGCTGTGATTCATCACAAAGGGGGTATCGAGGGTCAACATTGACTCCGCTGTCCCAAACACCAACCAACCGCCCTTTGCAACCTGAATTGGAAGAAAGATGAGCATCCAACTCATCAAAATCCAGAAGCTCGGAAGCATAGGTGTCCTTTTAGGGCAAATAGATGGCCCTGGTAGATGATTAAACCACCAGCTAAACCAGGAATCGCCATCTAAGTTTCTACCAAAACAACCAAAAAGGACACCTATGCTCGGAAGGCCAAGCTGACTCGCCGACCACAAGCGGCTTTGGCACGCCTTTTAAATGCGCCCGATCCCCGGCCTGGCGTCCGAGAGGCGCTGGGCGTCCGTGTCCACAGCGATGACCTGGCGGCAGTTCATCGCGAACCTCGGATAAAGCGAGTGGCGATGTCTGGGCCTTTTGTTCCAGGAAATCGGACCCTTCAAAAAGGGGCAAAAATGGTTCCCTTTAAAACAAAAAAGAAGGGGATGAAATGGATGTGTTTTTGGAACCGGACCCCCAACAAAACGCTGAGTTGGTGTCCTTTCTGGTGTCCCTTTAAAACCCACCCAAAAAGGGAGGAATTGAATTCTCTCCCTAAAACAGAAGCCAGAGCCACTTGTCCAACTCCCGAAAGCAATGTTTGACAGACCCCCCCGTGCGTCCTTCTTTTCCGGAACTCCGAAAAATTGTACCGACCCCATGGCCTTCTCCCCTGGAACCAACCAAAAACCAGGGTTTTTGGGAGCCGAGCAAAACCTCCCCTCCCTCCCCCCTCCCTTCGTCCAACTCCCAAATTTAATTAGACAGACCCCCACGTCCTTAACTTGGGACTCCGAAACCCCCCCTCCCCTTCCCCCCGCCCTTCCCCCCCCCCTCCCCCACCTTTGTCCAAGCCAGCCCACCCGACTCCGATCCCTACCGCCGCGGTGCTGGATGGCGTTGCCGCCCACCCCGCAGGTGCCGTCCACCACGACCTCGTGGCAGAGCCGGTCCGCCAGGTGCCGCGCCACGGACTCGGGGGTCACCTCGAACCAGGCTCCTCGAAACCAAACGCGGCGCGGCCGTTTGTGGGTGGCGGTTGCCGGAGGTTTCCGAGGGGCGGAGGAGGCCAAGAGGGAAAACCCGGAAGAAACCGGGGCCAAACCCCCCAGCTGTTTTTGAGGAGAGGCCCTTAATGCATGGAAAAAGCGGGCGAATCGCCTCAAACAAGGCGAGTCGGCACACTGCGGGAAAAGTATCGGCCAACATTAGAAGCCCTGGTCGTTCCGGGAATGCCGGCTGTTCACGACACCACAACCTGTGCTGCATCCTCCTTTTTGTTTAACAGACACGTCTTTGTGCCAGGGTCCTTGCAAACTTGCCAGCCCCCAACTGCCCACCCCTGCCCCTCTCCCACCCCAAACCCAAACCCAAACCCAAACCCACCCCACCCCCACCCCTATGGACCCGGGGCCGCTCCTGGGTCCATGCGCACACCCTCGTCGAAGCGGGCAAAGTAGTTGTAGCGCCGCTTCCAGTACCTGCCATGCGACAGGCCGAACGAGCTGCGGGGGAGGCCGGAAGGCTTGGAGATTGGGACTGGACGTTTGGGCGCCGTATCAAATTGGGCGAAAATTCCCCTATTTCACGACACACGGCAAGGGGATCCTTTCATGTAGGTCATGGCCGTCTACAATCCTCATCCAAAGGGTGACCCGGTGCCAAGCAAGCCCGTAGCCAATGTGCCGCAGCCACTTGGACATCTTTCAGGGGGAAGCATTCAGAGGTTCATGTGGAGGGTCTGACTAGTTTGAGACTTCAAGCTGGGTGAACCTCACCAATGGCCGGTTTCCAGGGAGCAATCAATGGTCCAAGCATCAAACCATCCACAAGGTTCCCACATGGGCCCACCTACCCTGAGCCCATCTTCGGGCACTTCTCGTCCACGTCGCCCTGCTCCGCCAGGCTGCGGGCTCCGGCGTTCTTGGGCCGGGGGGTGTAGTGCACCAAGGCCGTCTCCGAGACCAGCAGAGCGCACAGCGCCTTGCGAGCCGATCCGAAGCTGGACCCCCACCCTCCTTTTGGGACCAAAAGAAGGCGCGTCGCTGAAGGGCTCCTATTTCTCCCAAACATCCATCCACAAATGGAGAAGCAGCCCACCCATCTGGGAGATGAACGGAGACGAGAAGGATGAAACAAAACAAACAAACAAACAAACAAACAAACAAACAAACAAAGCATATCCGTCACCTGGTAGTTTCCTGGCGAGCAAATTCAGCGTGGGTTATGCAGCACCGGCTTGAAGTGGCTCTCAGATTGACCTTAGTTTGCTTTTGGGGAAAACCAATGGAGCGATGTCCCAAGCCTCTTGGCGTGTGGCATGTCTCTGCATATATTTACATGCATGAATAGGTATATGTACACATACAATTCACACGAAGAATGTATGTATATATATATATATGGGGTGTATGTGCAAATGCATATATATATATATATGCTTGGTCGACGTTGAAAGGGAGCAAAACCATTTTTTAACAGTCAAGTGGGGATTTCAACCACTCAATCACAACAAGCAAACATGTAAAATGTTCCCTCTACATATATATATATATATATATATATATATATACATGCGCACGAATGAAAGCAAAACACCCCTCGCCGGTTGCATGCCAACTACACCAGGGAGTGGGAGGCCAAGCTCCACTTCGCAACAGAAATCTCTCGTAGCAAAGAAAATGGCTGCAGCCAGGGTTCCACTTTTGCACTGCCCCAAGATGGACTTAAACCCAGGAATGGTTGATTTCCCCCAGCGGGACACACTGGGTTTAAGTCTATGTTGGGGCAGTGAAAAAGTGGAACCCTGGCTGCACGAACCTGGCGGACCCTGTGGACATCAAGATTTGGGGATGTTTTTGTCCACCAATCACTTTCAAAAAACTGTTGGGTCCGGATGAAAACAGAGCCATGAACCCAAGCTGAATCTCTGAGGGATCGAAGATCTCCGCAGGCTACAGAAGCCCAATGTGCCGTTCGCGCAAAGAGTACCGGAAGCACCGCAAATGTCAAAGCGAAGTGAACCTACCCGGCCGTTCGGCCCAAGTCCCCCCCATCTAAGGAAATGCCTTTTCGCAAAGATACATGCGGGTTGCGGGTTGGGAGGTAGGGTGAGGTACGGTGGATGCCCTAAAAGATGCAAGTAAACCAACCATACTCAACCACAAAACCGCGATCGATCAGAGGGTTTCCTGCTCCCTGACTTGCAATATTTGGGGCGTCCAGCGTAGACTTCACCTTTTGACCAGAGGAGAAAGCTGCTGCGCTTCAGTCGCAACGCATGGTGTGAGCCGATGCCAAGCTGGTGCCTTGCTGATGTACCAAGGACGCCCAGGTTTGTTTATGAACCCTAGGACGGGAAAGCTCGGCCAGAGGTGTCTATGCAACCACCCTGATCCCTAAAACGCGAAACCCTTGAAAACGGCAAACGGTTTAGTGTCCTGGTTTAGGATGCGGCCTATTTGGAGACGCGAAACCTGGTCTCTGGGTCCACCATCTACTGCACAAAAGTGGACCCAAAACACCGGGACTGTCTTTTGCTGATCTTCACCTACAGTTTTGCTTGCGCACTACCAAGCGCCTCTGTATTGCCCTCGGTTTCGCCGCATTCGCCGTCGCCATGCAGGAACCTGGGCGAAAAAAAACACCCACGCGAGGGAAAGACCGGGACCTCGGATTTTCCGAAACATCCCCAAAAGGCATCACCTCAAAACATAAATTCTGGCACGGAGGCTGAAGCCCAGCCCAAAGCTCGACAGGCCACACGCTTTGAACCCCGGACCTTGGCCAATTCATCCCATCACTACCCCTTGGACAAATGAACCCCTGAGAGGCCTGCTGATGTTCATACCCCTCTCCCCAAAAGGGGTACGTACCCCTTATAAAGTGGGTTGGAAACCAAAAAAGCCAAGGGGTATGAACAAGGGGTATGTACTTCAACCCTTAGAAAGCGCTTTTCCACGTGCTCGCCCTCTGCTTCAATCTCACCTCGCCGGCGCTTGCGCATCGAGCGCGCTGGCGAGCCCTCGCGCAACCACCGCGCGAAATCCTGGTGGTCGAAGTCCAAAGCTAAATCCAAAAGCGTCCTTCCCACCTCCGTCATGGCCGCTCCTGCCTCCAGCAGACAGCGCGCAATGTCTAAGCGCCCAAACTGGGCCGCGTGATGCATGGGCGTCCTGCCGCGATTGTCGAACTTGTCTTTGTCAGCGCCGGCTTTGATCAAGCAGAGTGCGACGTCCCGGTGCCCGTTGTTGGCGGCAAAATGCAGGGGTGTCCATCCGCAAGCGTCCGCCGCGTCCTTGTCAGCGCAGGCTTGCAACAAGCAGCGCACAATCTGCGGGTGGCCGCGCATGGCGGCCCAATGCAGGGGCGTCAATCTGGCATTGTCGCACTTCCCTTCGTCAGCGCCAACTTGCAGCAAGCAGCGCACAACTTCCAGATGGCCAAAGCGGGCAGCCAGGTGCAGCGCAGTTCTGCCCTTGTGTTCGGTCTCTGGGTCCAGAGGCCTTTCCAGCAAACTCACCAGTCGCGCGACGTCTCCGCTCCGCACCGCCTGCATCAGTTCCTGGGGGCACTCCTCTGAGTAGGGCCGATGCACCACCACCAGCTCCGCGTCAATCCATTGGCTCTCGGAGCCTGCGGCCAAATTATTGCATCAGATTGATCCTCTAAAAACTTGTTTGAAGGGAAAAAGACCCACCAAAAGTAATGTTGAGAACATTTTTCCCCTGAGTACCACCAAGCATCCCAGGCCTGGCATCTCGTCCCCGCACACCAAGGCCAGCGCCCGGAAATTCCTCACCTGCAGCCGCTTTGCCAAAGTCGACCTCAGCGCATCGAAGAACCGAAGGTCGTGAGGCTCCGAAGTCCACGCAGCGAAGGCTTCCTCCGTCATCACCTCCTCTCCGGTGACTTTTCGAACTCGCCCCATCGCGCATCGCGCGCCAAAAGCGCGCGAAAGATCTGGAGTCAAAAAAGGTGGGCTTCGAGCCTGGTCGGAACTCCGCCGGGGGAGCATGCCAATTGCTCTGGACACCCCTTTTTTTGATCCAAGAAGAAAGACAGCGAGATGGCATCCAACAAATGCCCCATGTCAAGCGGCGCAAAATGATATCCCCGAACCTGAAGATGAAAAGGACTCTGTACATGCCATGCACTTGACTCTCAATCGCAAGTAACTGGAAGGTCGTCAGTCCAAAAGCCGGGGCTATCCTCCGTTTCCCTTCTGGGGAACCTCCAAAAGCGGCCATTGCTTTTCAATGTAAAACTGCCATTGTCAGCAATTCATCCACCTTTCTGGGGGACATCCTTTGTGCCCCAAGTCCTCTCTGGATCAGATCTAAACCTTCGAGGTGAAACTTCGAGACCTTCGAGACCCAGCGCCCCAAATCCCCGCGGTCGCCCAGCTCCTTGCGGTCCAAACCATTTGCAGTCGCTTGCGCTTCAAACAGCCAGGCGCGGGGTGTTTCCTCTGGGCGTCTCCTCCCTGCCCTGAGTTTCTCCAAGCGGGAGAAGAAGGAAAAAAAACTGCCGGTGGAGCCCTCGACTTTTTTCCGAAAGTTGAGCACCGGACAACCCTGGAGTGAAACCGTAGCTATGCAGAGTTCCACTTGACTGCACCCACCCACACACACACACACAAAGACACGAAGACGCAAAGACACGAAGATGCAAAGACACGAAGACGCAAAGACACGAAGACGCAAAGAAAGGCACAGACACACACGGAGACACGGAGACACAGCCAATGAGACACAGACACGCAGAGACACCGAAAGGCACAAAACAGACTTTGTGTAGAAACCCTCCATGTTTGAACTCTACTTGCCACAACCCCCCCCTCCCCGATGCCAACCTCCTGGAAAATGGAGCCCCCACATAAGTTGGTTTCCACTTGGCATACCTGAATGGTTGGTCTTCCATGTGGCATCCCAACAGTGGTTGCCCCGACAATGAAGTGATTTCCATGTGGCTTACCTCAACTAACTTGCTTCTCTTACAACGGTTGGATCAAATGACTCAGAAACTGGAATCCCCAACATGGCAGCTTGGTATATGGAAACAAAGGCTTGCAACCGATGTGTAATGTTGAGCCACCAAATATCAATCAAGTCACCCACCTCCCCCCCCCCCACCTCCCCCTCCCCTCACCTCCACCTCCCCCCACCCCCCTCACCCGCCCCCCCCCTTCCCCCCAGCCGCGTCCGCGCAAACGCTTCCGAGGGGCCACCGCAGCTGGCGCGCCGTGCGCTGCGCCTTGCACAGCGTGAGGCCCAGCGGCAGATTCTCCGCCAGCAGCGGCGCGCACTGCGCCGCCGTGGACGCCTCGCTCGCGCCAAAGCGAAGTCAACTCGCGGCGCTGGGGCAAACCCAGAAAGGTCTTGAATGATATATATATATATATATATATAACCCTTATATAATCCTTATATATCCATTGGCTTCTGGGGGGAGTGATTTGGGGGTAGTCAATGTAGTCTTAGATTGAATGATACCGCGGATGGTTGCGACATCCATTGCGCACCACCAACCAGAAAGCCTGGTTTCTGATGATTAGGAAATGATGGCCGCAAACCGGATGAATGATCTAGATGAGCAAATGCGTGTTCAGGCATATGGATCAAAGAACGGTGTTGAAGAATGATATGGAGGAAATGTGTGGCCATTGTGGCAAACCCAGAAAGGTGTGGAAGAAGAATACTGTGGATGGTTGCACAATCCATTTCGCACCACCATTCAGAAACCGGTTTGTGATGATTCCCCTTGTAAATGCCAACAAACAATGATTTCAACCATGTTTTCAAAGTGGTGCAGGATTCCGTCCATCCACAGTATGGATGAGGAAATATGAGGCTGGTGTGGCAATGAAGACCCCAACCAGAAAGAATGTGGCACGGAAAGTCCGAGAGTGATTCAGACTGACCCCCCGAAGCTTGCCCTTTACCCCGATTTACTCCTTCGAAGATTGCCTTAAGGGGTATGGTCCAGGGGATGAAAGGTGAAACCTTTGAGTCTAAACGGGCGAAGAGAACTTGACTTTTCCATCCCCCAAACAGGTACAACCAAGTAAAATGGGATGTCACAAGTTTTTTGACCAGTCTGCTCTACAAATTCCAAAGGAAACCCCTGGCGTGTGCCCTCCTTGGTGGGAGGGTATACATTTGTAAGGGTGAACCCAGCAGAACCCGTGCAGATCGCTTGCTCTGAGCCGCCCGCTGCCCAAAATTCTCTCACCTCAAGCCCCGCATTTGTCGGAGCCAAACAGCTCGGGGATGCTTGAAAATACATTCTTAGGGGGTTCCCTGCTTAAACCTTCACGTCGAGTCCTGGTGGTGTGTCTCTTTTACCGGCGTTGCTGGTGGTGAAAAGGAAAAGCATGACCGTACATGACCGTGACCTCGTCATGTGCTTGCTTCTCTTTTCCTGGTCTAAAAGCAAAGGTAACTCTGCGGTCTCAAACTGAAAACCGCATCCCAAAAAACCGGCAACCTCCGAGGTCTCAACAAATGCCCAAGGTGGTCTCAAGGCAAAACGCATCCAAAAAACAGGCCACTCTGAGGTCTCAAAGGTGGCCTCAAGGAAAACCTCCCAGAAACAAGGGCAACCTCCGAGGCCCCTGCCCCCCGCCCCGCCCCCTGCCCCGCAACCCCCCACAGCCGCTTCGGTCCACCCGCTCAGCTCGGCGCCTTGAGGCACAGCTTCGCCACGAAGCTCCGCACCAGAGCCCCCAGCTCCGGCGGCACGTCAGGCGACGGCGCGGCCATGACGCAGGCGGCGAGTGGGCGGGCGGACGAGCCGGTTGGGTCGAAGGGGTCCCGGTGGGTCCCAAAAAAGTCGCTGGTTGTTGGCCACTTAAAGGGTCTTTCCAATTGGGGGAAATGGTTCAGTCAGGTGGACGGTGCCAAAGTCACTCAAAGGGGAACTTGGGAAGGAAGCGCAATATAGTGCTTGGTTAAGAGGTCGTGTTGGAGGTCAGTTGGTAAATTGAGCAAGTGAGTTGGTTGGCTGACCCGCATGGGTAATCTGGTGATCAGAGGGCGTGGTTTGCCATGCCAAGTTGGCACGCCCCTTTGTTCTCCAGAGAGATGAGAGGCATCCAAGGGTTGCGAATCCAGCTTCCATGCTCAACAAAGAAGGAAACCCGAGTGCCAAACGACACGGCATTGCTTGGACGATGATTTCGGTGGAACCCTTGAAAGAATCATATCACATGTGTGCCTTTTCATCAGCGCCAGGTTGCATGGCGACAAGAATCAACAGCTGGGCCAAGCGTCGGACAGCTCCTGGTGGATGGCTTCAGAATTGTATGTTCGGTAAGGAAACACCGATGAACCCTGGAGCCAACTCAAATGTAAGCTGGTAAGGAAGCACCTCAAAAATCGAACCAACCGCCGGGGCGATGGTAGAGGATTGGTTTCTTCCAGACCTCCCCCAGTCAGGTTCCACGTGGATGGGAGGGTACTCACTTGGAGTGCCACCACTCTGACTGGCGCATGGAAAAGGCACTCGGTTTGTTGGGAGGTCAGTCATGTGTGCGGTTCTCTGGAATGATGGTATAACCTCCAACATATGTTGCCGGACAGAAACAAAATAAACAAAGAGTATGGGAAAAAATGTCGCATGGAACAAATGTGTATTCAAAGAGTTCTAGACCGATCAAAAAAGTTGCGGGGTCCAAACCGGTAACGGATCCATGGCCATCCGCACAGCAAGTCAGGTCTTGTGGCACTGAGAAATACAGACAAATGAAAACCACTTTGATGACCTACCCGTTGTTTTCTATCTTGAAAGTCTCATGGATGGCCTACCCTGTGAATCTAAATGGCGGTTTTGAGCCTTGCCACGTCCCTTTAGAGGGACCTTGCTGGAGCGAGCCCGCTCCTTTTTCGCCCCAAGGCTGGCTCTTCGAGCAGGCGAGCGGACGTCAGCCTTACCGAGCTGGTTCCTCCCACAAGTGGATTGCCACATCCAGACAATGCGTAGTTCCAGTTGCCCATATGGTTGGCAATAGCACCCTCAATCAAAAACCCAGAGGTAAAAATATCAACTAGTTGCCTACGATGGTGGTATCTGGATCCCATGCAGAGCGTTGCACAAACCCATGCGTGGCTCAATCCACAGGTGAGCTATGTCTTTGTCGAGGCCGTCTATCCTTGGCATGGCACGTTTGCCCGGCCAAAGTGCGGCCTGAGGGAACACGGCCTGGTCAAAGGTTCGGGAAGCCCTGCTGGAGAGCAGATCGAAAGAAAGAAAGATCCGTAGACACCTCATGGACCATAGCGGTGGACACAGAAAAAACAAACTGTGTCAAAAAGATCAGTTGTTATGCATAGACATGCATTGTAGGGTAGGGTATGTAGGCCACGCACTCCTACGTACTACTCGTGAAGCACATGCGATGCTCGTTGATGCATCGCCAGCCCAACTCTGACCCAGCGGCCCTGGTTTCGGGCCCTGTGGATCTGAAGAAAAGGATTCGGAGGAAGTGGCCTGCCCGGGCCATGCTGAGACTCTCCCAACAAGTGCTGTAGATGTTACTGCGGCGGTTCCTTGCAGATGGGTCTTTTAAAAGGCCGGGAAGAGCGGAACTTTCGGCGAGCAAGCCATGCTTTTAACTTTTGGGGGAAAACCTATGCTTCCGCGTGGACGCCACCAAAGGCAAAGCCAACACCCATGAGCACGCGCCGCCACGAGGCCTCTCAGAGTTGCTCGGGGCTCGCCACGGACGCCGACTCGCTTCCGCCCGGCGCTCCGTTTCCGGGCAGCTCCGGCTCCGAGTCGCTGGAGAGGAGGGCCGCCTATCAAGCGAAGCGTTTCCGAAACGCGGCGGGGGCGTCCGAGTTGGTACCATTTGGGTGTGGCTCAGAATTTAAGAGCTGCTACGCAGGGTCTTTGTCTCCATTGACCTAGGGCCCATTTTGGGTTCATCTTAGCCACAGCCATGTCTGTCTGATTTGATGAGAAAAAAGATGGGAAGCCAAAAGGAAACCAGTTGGGAGGGGGATTTGCTGAACAAAGTTGGGAAATTAAAAGGAAACCAGTTGGGAGGGGTCTGAGACAGACCAAAAACATGGGTGCTTCTCTGAATTTATGGATTTGGTGAGAAGAGCCTTGACGGGTTTTCCCGATCTCAGAAGTGCACAGGATGGGAGGCTACAATCATGGAAAGCATCGTGTCCACTTCCGTGTTCTAAGCGCAAGGTTCAAATGTTGAACTAACCCCCGCAAAAGGGCAAATGGAAATACGGCTGAGAAGTTCTGCACATCCCCCCGATTCCATGTTTTGGTGGGCTGGGCATGAAACAGGGCATTCGCCCTCATTCCCACAGTAGGATCCACATCTGCTGTGTGTACTTGAAACATGCCAGTTCGGACTGCAGTGGAAAGTACCCCATGCTCCAAGTGGTGGAAGGGATCGACCCCGAAACCGCAATCAAAACGTGGTGTTTGCCCCAAATCCGCAAGAATTTGAGATATCATTCATGGTCCCAGCCGGTTGTCAGCCAATCTTGACTTTCTGGCTTTGAGTCATGTCATGCCGAAAGAGCTTGCGGCACTGTCTTGGGTCCGAGCCTGTGGTATATATGGGGAAAAAAGGCAAAATATGTAGCCTGGATGCATTTGTAGCCGCTGTATGGAGTGAGCGCTGCACGCCTTGGAAAGTCAACCGCAAGGCCAAAGGTGATGTTGAAAGCCAACCAAAAAGACCTGGGTCTGTCTTTTTCTTGGGAGTTGGCACCCATTTCTTGGCTGTTTTGAAGGGAAAAGCACCCAAAAAACAAACAACACAAAAAAAAGGAGAAAAAAAAAAAAAAAAAACGAAACCCGTGTTTTGAAAAATATACTTGGGGGGGGGCCCCTCTCAAACCAAAAAAAAAAAACAAGCGCGGTCCCCATGGCTCGCACCGCCCGAAGCCCCGAGAAAACCACCGCCTTGGCCGCGCTCTGGGACTCCAAGGTGTGGCCATGAAACCTGAGCGCCCCACTCCAGGCACATACATATCATTTGCGCGTATGGGAAAAATGTGTATGTATATATATATATATGTGTATATATATATACACATATGTATATATATATATATATATGTATGCGCAAACATATACATATATATATATTTACATTTATATTTATTATTGGAAACAAAAAATAGACTTTTAGCAGTTAGGTGGGGATTTCAACCACCAAAAACATAGATTTTGAGCAGTTAGGTGGGGATTTTGATCATTAAAACAAAGTTTAGCACTTAAGTAGGGATTTCAACCACTAAGCCACAATAAGCAAAAATGTAACATGTGTCCCAACAATAACCGAGTAGTGTTATCTTCCAATTTTCCCTGACCAAATTGGTTTACTCCAGGTTCACTCCAGGTTTATCCCAAGTTTACTCCAAATCATCCAGGTTTACTCCAGGTTTACTTCATGTTTCCCTGCCGAACTTGGTGGTACTTCTCATTTGGGCGCCTTTTTGGTCAGACTCACCAAAAGCCCGGCTACTCCAAATCTTGCCCTTTGCGAGAGCTAGGGTCCCTGAGAATTGGAAAGAC